ATGCAGTGTGGAAACAGGGCAGAGTGAGCGTGCAGTGGGAAAAATGAGAACCTGAAACTGGAATTTTGGTCCATCCTTTCATCTACACGGCAAGAGGAGACTTCCAGTCAATCTCTTTATCCCTACTCACACTGGTGGGGGCAAGAGAGAGGGACCCTGTGCTGTCCATCATCTGGTATGACTTCTGCAATCTTCTTCTCTATCTTCCCATCTTACATCCAACATAAAATGATGGAAGCTGGATAAACTCCATTTCCTCCTTCCTCCAAGATGTCTGTTTGCTTTTTCCAGGCTTTGTGGCCAGGCCCCAGGCCTCCCCTGTGAACCAGCTTATGGCGGACCGGATCATCTTCCTCCTGTCAAATTAGCCAATGGCGGTAGGAATTTAGGGAGCGTTCCCTTGGGCATGAGACCATCTGACCAATAGTGGCATTTCATCCCAAACCCATGGCAAGGACAAATGGCTGGTGTGCTGGGACATTTGGCCTCTTTTATGCCACACTGGTTCTCCCATCCTCCCATCCTCCCATTAGGGTTTTTCAGATGGTACAAGCTTGCTATGGACATTGTTGGTCGCCAGATGTAGGTGCTGGGCAAGAATTTTTCCCACCTGGCAAACTGACTCCACCATTTGGGTTCTTGTAATAGTCACAACTCTTTAAGGCAGATAGGCATTGGCTAAGCCTATTCTTGGGACGCGGGTGGCGCTGTGGGTAAAAGCCTCAGTGCCTTGGGCTGGCCGATCGAAATGTCGGCGGTTCGAATCCCCGCGGCGGGGTGCACTCCCGCTGCTCGGTCCCAGCGCCTGCCAACCTAGCAGTTCGAAAGCACCCCCGGGTGCAAGTAGATAAATAGGGACCGCTTACTGGCGGGAAGGTAAACGGCGTTTCCGTGTGCTGCGCTGGCTCGCCAGATGCAGCTTGTCACGCTGGCCACGTGACCCGGAAGTGTCTCCGGACAGCGCTGGCCCCCGGCCTCTTGAGTGAGATGGGCGCACAACCCTAGAGTCTGTCAAGACTGGCCCGTACGGGCAGGGGTACCTTTACCTTTTTACCTTTAAGCCTATTTTTGGATGGAGGGGAGGTTGTAGCCTCTGCCTGCCCCTCCATGGTTAAGGGTATCCTGTTTAAAGTGGCAGACACTGATCATGTATTCACACTATAGGAACATGGATCAGAATAGAGCTGAGCTGTCATACACTAGACACTCCAGCCTTTGCAATGATTCACCAATCATTGGGGCTCAAAACCAATAATGATGAAGGTGAGAATACTTCCAGCTAATTAAAAAGAACAGCAGAAAATTATTTTGTCACAGAAACACCAACTATTAAAGGTGCAACAAAGCAAACCAATTAACAGGAACAGAATGAACTTCCAAAATGAGCTGCTGCATCTATCTCAAGGCCAAGCACAACTGCAAATGAAAGAGAACCTGTATGAATATAGCACATGAAATCCCCACAGAGAAAAGTGGGATGAATACTAATATGAACATATAGACATATGAATGTCTAGACATTTTTGCCTAGGTACATATAGCAATTTCACCTAGGTACATATAGTAATTTTGATTCTTCTGGACTGACTCAGTACCTCAGAGCTCCTAAATAGAGTTTAGAGGAGACAGGTGTCATGGAGCCTGGATGACCTCATAGTCTCTCATGCTTTCTAATCAGCCCTGCAGTATTGGGTTGGATTGACAAAGCCATCCTTCTTCCTCCAAGAGGAAGTGGTACAAACACCATTCAGGAGGCCCCAAAGAAGTGCAAACAGTACAGAAAACTGCAATGGACAACTGCTCATCTTGGCAGCCACCAGACACTCTGCTGTGGCCAACACTGACTTATTGCCTCCCTCCCATTAAGCCTCCAAAACACTAATCAACTGGGGTAGAAACCACACCACACAGCAATTAAATGAGGTGGCATGATGACAAATGAAAGGAATCTTCTTGAGATGTATTTGATACGAATCCTCTAGGGCTTAGGGTCACAAACAGCAAATATCCAGGAAGTGCAGGCAGATTGTATATAATAATTAGCTCTTTAGCACTAAATAAATGAATGAAACTGTATAAAAGGGCTCCACATAGATGTTTCCCCCCCAATTGCAGGTTGAGGCTTCTCTCGTCCCCAGCTCCCGTGTTTTCTCCTGGTGTTGGTATGTCTGCTTTTAAACTAAACTTTGTGGGAGAGGACCTCTCTTTTTGGAATTTGTTACAGTGGTACCTCGGGTTAAGTACTTAATTCGTTCCAGAGGTCTGTACTTAACCTGAAACTGTTCTTAACCTGAAGCACCACTTTAGCTAATGGGGCCTCGCACTGCCGCCGTGCCGCTGCTGCACAATTTCTGTTCTCATCCTGAAGCAAATTTCTTAACCTGAGGTACTATTTCTGGGTTAGCGGAGTCTGTAACCTGAAGCATATGTAACCTGAAGTGTATGTAACCCGAGGTACCAGTGTATTGTGCTTTTGACTTCAGAGGTTAATAGTTTGGGTTGGGAATGGGGAATGGTACATAATATGTTATTGTTGGGCTTCCTAGAATTGTTACCACCTTGAGTTTCTGTGGATAATTAGGTGAGATAGAAGTCTTTGTTTTTCTGGAAACAAGGACTTGTGTGAGCCACAGATTTTGTCCAAAACTCAGCATTGTCTTTGCAAAAGTGAAGCCATTGGTTTCACTGAAGATTTGATTACAGAGGCCCCAACTCCCCAAACAGCTGTAATTGAAAACTGTATTTGTAATATCTTAATGTCCTGTTTTACTGTCTCTTTTTGAGGGGAATTTGTTAATTCTTTTTCATTCCTTTTTATATATTTTCCCAATCTTTCCTTGCCTCTGTTATTTATGTGGATGTCAAGGGCCATCTGTCATGGATGCCTGAGTTGAGTTTTCTGCATTGCAGGGGGTTGGACTAGATGACCCTCCTTTTTCAGATTTTGAACTGCCTTTCCACAATGTCATCTATTGTTGTTGTTTAGTCGTTTAGTCGTGTCCGACTCTTCGTGACCCCATGGACCAGAGAACGCCAGGCACCTCTGTCCTCCACTGCCTCCCGCAGTTTGGTCAAACTCATGCTGGTAACCTCGAAAACACTATCCAACCATCTCGTCCTCTGTCGCCCCCTTCTCCTTGTGCCCTCCATCTTTCCCAACATCAGGGTCTTTTCCAGGGAGTCTTCTCTTCTCATGAGGTGGCCAAAGTACTGGAGCCTCAGCTTCACGATCTGTCCTTCCAGTGAGCACTCAGGGTTGATTTCCTTCAGTATGGAGAGGTTTGATCTTCTTGCAGTCCATGGGACTCTCAAGAGTCTCCTCCAGCACCATAATTCAAAAGCATCAATTCTTCGGCGATCAGCCTTCTTTATGGTCCAGCTCTCACTTCCATACATCATTATATGTCATCTATAACCATAATCAAATTCTACAATTCTATGATTCTAAGTTTTTCTCTCCTTTTTTTCAGATTAACAGCTGCCGTTCAAGATGTCATCTATGAACATCGGTGTATCCATTCAGCTACGTCCCATTCCTGTTCCTGTTCCTTTTCCTGTTCCTGGTCGAATTACTACAGATATAACTATACTAAATATTACCCTTGCAGGTAGCGCTGACCCAGAGCTCTATCATAGGTCACCCAAGGGTAGGTAGGTAGAACACTCTGTTCACTTTGTTCACTCCCCAGCTGTTCCCCTGGACTCGGGCACGGGCACAACCCCCTCATAGGGATTGACCAAACCAAGTTGAGTCCCTGGATCCCTTCACATAGGGATGGCAAGACCGTTCTCCCATCTCTATCACCTGAACCAGTGCCTATCCGCAACCTTACAAGTTGTGACGACGCTGCTACGCAGCAGGTGAAACCCAAATGGCAACAGCCATCAGCCAAGTGGGGGAAATTCCTGCCGTGTCCCTGTCCCAACGACAGACACCACACGACGGCATAGCAAGGTCAATCGCAAAATGCCCTAAATATAGGGAGAGGTGGGTGGGTGTTCCGATGCACGAGCCAAAAGAGGAAGCTCTGGGTCACGTGCATAGGTATATATTGGTCCCTCGATCCGTTGAGACAGCACACCATTGGCCAGACTAAACCCAGCAACGAGGGACCTACCAGTCGGGTGTTGTGGCTGTCCAAAATACCCACCCACAACAAGAAGGTCAGCCTCCAGGTCTCACTGCAACACATGCCCTCTTTTAGGGAGGACACGCGTTCTGGGTATAAGCTTTCGTGTGCACTCCCGTGCATAGTGGGAGGGTGGGGTGGGGTTTTTCTCCCACTATATATCAGGGTCTGGTGACTTGTGTTTCAGTGTATTTGAAGAAGTATGCATGCACACAAAGCATGTTCTCTCTAAATGAGAGCATGTGTTGCGGTGGGGTCCGCTGAGTCACCCCTCTGTTGCCAGGTCGGGTGATAAAATGGCTGTGTTGCTGGGGGAATTTACTTGTTGCAAATTTGGTGGGAGGGACTGAACTGTTTAAATTCCGAGCACGCAGCTTGGTGCTTTCTCTTTTGCTGTGTGAGCCGGATCACCTGCCCACCCGCCCTGAGTTTGGAGGGTCTGCTTGACCTTGCTATGCCTGTCATGCGGGTGAGCGCTGAGGGCCTGTGACTCAGCTCCATTGCTCCCCAATATTGTTTTCCCTTACTGGCATCTGATGGAGTTCGGATGTCAGTTCTGTCCCCAGGCCGGGGGGGGCGGGGGGGCGGACAGATAGTCTTAACCAATGCCTAAGCAACCACTCACAGATATGTATTTTAATAATGTTGTGGCCAAAATTATGCCAAAAACCTTAAACAAAAATTTATGTGTGACTTGTGAGTTATTTGAGGGGTGGCTTGGGGACCTTGACACGCAAAAGCTTATACCCAGAACAAACTTTCCTGTTGTTGTTGTTGCTGCTGTTGTTGTGACTCAGCCTGAAAGCTGCAAGTGAGAATATGAAATGAAAACTCTGTAGAACCATATCACTTTAATTGTGAAGCTGATAAGTTAGATTTATTGGGTGGGGTGGGGGACAGTGGCATGAAAGAACCCATACATTAAGCAAATTCAGAAAGGGAAAGAATACACTGCGGTGTAAATGAGCAAAAGATTAATGACTGGTTAAAGGTACACAGGGAAAAACAGAGCTTCTTGGGAAACGGGCAGCATCGTAACTGTTTCAGGCCTGAAGAATGTCCAGAGATCCATCAATGGGTAGCAAGCTTCTATTATTCAGGGTCGCCTGGATAGAAAGGAAGCAAAAAGGTACAAATCTAAGAGAGAGAGCACCAAAACAGAAAGGAACATTGGGCAGTGAGGTGAAGGCGGAGTGGCTGAGATGTTGAGAGAGAGATCCTTGATCCAATCAAATTGGACTTGTCTGGAAGGGGAATCTCTGCATTTCTGACACCTGGGCCCATACATTCATCAGCCGTTACTCCAATATGTGCACTTCACATACCATCCCCCCCCCTTCCCTGGGGATCATGTTCCCATTCAAAAAAGGGACAAACTCATCCTTATCTCAGTAAGAAAGCTGTCAGCACAACATTTCAGGCAATGGACCAAGAAGGGTGGAACCAGGGAGCCCTCCAGATACCTGCGTGGGGGTGCTGTTGTGGACTACTGTACTACCACATGTCATAATAATAATAATAATAATAATAATAATAATAATAATAATAATAATATTTATACCCTGCCCATCTGGCTTAATTTCCCCAGCCACTCTGCATGGCTTCCAACCGAATATTAAAAACAATAAAGAGTCAGACATTAAAAACTTCCCTAAACAGGGCCGCCTTCAGTTGTCTTTTAAAAGTAAAATAGTTTATTGCCTTGACATCTGCTGGGAGGGCGTTCCACAGCCGGCGCCACTACCAAGAAGGCCCTCTGCCTGGTTCCCTGTAACTTGGCTTCTCACAGCGAGGGAACCGCCAGAAGGCCCTCGGAGCTGGACCTCAGTGTCCGGGCTGGATGATGGGGGTGGAGATGCTCCTTCAGGTATATTGGGCTGAGGCCGTTTAGGGCTTTAAAGGTCAGCACCAACACTTTGAATTGTGCTCAGAAACATACTGGGAGTCATGAAATGGCAGGGCACCAGGGAAGGGGAAGGGGATCCCGGCGAGGGATGTAGCTATGATTGGTATACACTGGGAAGTTGAAGATGGGGAGGTTGGGGGCGGGAGGCACTCAAAAGACTTCAGAAGATGCTGAAAGGGCAGCCACCAGTTCATGGGAACCAGGGAAAGTCGACACATCATCAGAACCAAAGGTGGCCCCAGGTGATGGCCTGGGATTCGGACTTGGATGCTGAACCTGAGGGATCCCAGCCTGCACAGGGTTCCCCGCCTCCAGAACCAACTGAGCCGGGGCTGGGACATGAGCCCGAAGGGTCCTTACTTGTGCTGGATCCTCAGGTGCAGGCACCAGCTGTGTCTGCTCTGGCTCCTGAGGTGATGGAGGACCCATTGCTGGCAAATGCTCCACTCTCAGGAAGCTGAGGTTGCCTCTGGGTCCAGTAACCCTCCAGCCTCTCCTGAGCTGCAGAGGCTCAGGGCAGAGAGGCGGAGGGAACTAAGTTCTCGCAGAAGGAGTGCTCGCCTCCAGGCCAGGAGAGGCGAGTCACCTGAGGATTGGGGCCGCCCTATGCCTCGGGGCAGATAAAAGCTGGCCAGCCCCAGTCCCAAGTTGAGGGAGCAACATTGTTGGATGCTAGTTCCTGCCTGAACCCTGTCCTGCTTTCCTGCCTGAGCTCCAGACCCGCCCTGGCTCCCTGCTTGCATGCCTGTTCCCGACTTCACCCCACTCCCTGCCCTGCACCCAGCTTCAGATGCTACGGATTGCCTCCACGTTGCACCTCTGACCACTGACCGGACTTGGACCTCGCCTTTTGGGTAACCCATGGGACCAGCACACCCCATCTGCGTGAACACGGTGGGCTCTCAGGCATTGGGAACACTTTCAGAGGTAGGTGCGAGAACACAGCCCAGTTGACTGGTTGACCAGATCATGGGACTCCTTGGGTTTGAGAGTAGGTGTGTTTGAGAGAAGTCTGCTTTGGGACCTCCACTGGCCTGTGATTTGGGGGCTGATCCTAGGATCCCAACCTTGGCTCTTCTGTAGTGGTGGGAACCTGACCTTATGGTTTGACTTTGAACCTTTCTTATTACAGTGGACCTGAACCTTTATTTGAACACCTCACTGTCTAGCATTGCCGTTGGGACTGAGGGCACTATGAGGACTTACGCATTGTTATGCCAGGGTTGAGCAAGTCGAGCATAAAGTTTATAGAATACACATCATGTGGAGAGAAATAGGCTATGTGTATGGGGACGTTGATCTTCCCTGAAAAGGAGGCCATGAACCTGAAATAATGTGGGGTAGAACACATTATGTTAAAATTTAAGCAGGCAAATGCTGGTGTCTATAAAGGCCCTCTTTAAATTATGATCTTAATTGTACAGTTAAAGGCATTGTGGGGAAATACTTTTGAAAGCATTACAATTGGATAGATTAAATTATAATATACAGCTGCCAGAACTTTCACTTTTGTATAGATACCCCATTTTCACTTGCCCTCTGCAACGTTGAGAAGAGAGGCCATTGCAAACATTTAAGGGGAGGGGGGAAACAGAAGTGGGGATCTCATTGGGGCTCCATCCATCATCTTCCCACCTGCTCCCCCACCCCCCACAGGGAGAATGGGGACTCCGTTCCTCACCCACAGGTAGTACAACAAGGCAAGAATACAAGGTACTGAGTATGTACTGAGTTGAATAGGATCCAAAAGGCAGCAGTCTGATTGGTCCTAGAACACTAGGATTCTGAATGCAGCAGTCTGATTGGTCCGCAGGGGCCACCCAATCCAGCTCCAGGTGGAAGGGAATCCGCAATCTGATTGGCCTACAGGAGAATCCCAGAATTAGCCAATTACGTGGGGCCCATTGTGTAAATAATGTATATAAGGCAGACATTCTGGGGGAACTTCCATTCTTCCTCATCACTACGAGCTGAATAAAGAGCATGAAATCCACTCTCGACTCTGGGTATATTTCACAAAGGAAGTGTGAACTACCTTTCATGCGCTGGACAGAGGGGGAAACAATGAGGCAGAGACCCTAGGTGCACAATTTTGAGGGGGCGCAACCATGCAGGTGGGCAAGGGGTGAGTGAGAGACCTTTGCAGTGAGACCAGCAGGGATGTCTGAAGAGTCTCATTCCAATTTCTATCTGAGACATAGATCTAGGAAAGCCAACACAAAGTGTGAGAATATGAAGGTACATGGGTTGACCTGATAGGTTTCCTGGGGCCATTTTTTTAAATTTATTTGCCTCAGGTGACAGGCACCTTCCTCACCACCCATTTTTACTTTTGCTTGCAATAAAATAAAGGCATGCAATCACAGTAAAAAGTGGCATTCGTGGTGACGTGTGTCACCTGTCAGATCGCTGCAGCTCAATCGTTCTGGCATTGGTGGTGGTGGCGAGTGTTGTGGTTCAACACTGAGCTACTTATTGTTTGAACAAGAAATATTTTTTGGGGGAAGGATAGGCCTCTGTAATCAACTTTAAAACCTAATTTCTTTGGTTTTGGACAAAATCTGTGAATCACACATCTCCTTCTTGACTGTGAAAATGCCTAAGGTAAAAGGTAAAGGGACCCCTGACCATTAGGTCCAGTCACGGACGACTCTGGAGTAGCGGCGCTCATCTTGCTTTATTGGCCGAGGGAGCCGGCGTACAGCTTCCGGGTCATGTGGCCAGCATGACTAAGCCACTTCTGGCAAAGCAGAGCAGCACACGGAAACGCCGTTTACCTTCCTGCCAGAGCGGTACCTATTTATCTACAATGGTACCTTGGGTTACAGATGCTTCAGGTTACAGACGCTTCAGGATACAGACTCCACTAACCCAGAAATAGTACCTTGGGTACTTTGCTTCAGGATGAGAACAGAAATTGTGCAGCAGCGGCAGCAGGAGACCCCATTAGCTAAAGTGGTACCTCAGGTTAAGAACAGTTTCAGGTTAATAATGGACCTCCAGAACGAATTAAGTACTTAACCCGAGGTACCACTGTACTTGCACTTTGACATGCTTTCAAACTGCAAGGTTGGCAGGAGCAGGGACCGAGCAACGAGAGCTCACCCCGTCACGGGGATTCGAACCCCCAACCTCCTGATCGGCAAGCCCTAGGCTCTGTGGTTTAGACCACAGTGCCACCTGCGTCCCTCGTGAAAATGTCTATTTCAGCTAATTACCCACAGAAACTCAAGATGCTAACAGTTTCAAACAGCCCAACAATCCCAACTTAAACACAAGTCCCAACTATTAACATTTGAAAGCAAAAGCACAACAACACATTCCAAAGAGAGACATTCTTCCCCCAAGAGAGTCAGTTAAAAAGGGTTCATACCACCAGCAGCCGAAGAAGCCGACTGTGCGAAGCTGGAGGCAAAGGCTACCAACAGACGCTGTTGGAACAGAGCTGTGTATGACATCCTTTTATAGTCTTCCATTCACAAGGTCAGAGTCCTGAGGTAGCCCTAAAGATCTAGTTGTTATATGCAGTCCCTGGATATTTACAACCCTGTTTTTTGACCATTAGTCCTGTGGGAGTTCCCTCAAACACATGCCAAAGTGATGCCTTTCATCTGATGTTATATCGCCTCATTCGGAAAGACTTTGTTCTTGTTAATTGCTGTGTGAAATAATTTTCACACACACCCCGCCCCCAGATGAGTGCTTTGGAGGCTTAATTTAAAAATAATGAGCCAATGATGGCTACAATCCTTACATAGAGAAATGTCTGGCGGCTGCCAAAATGGGCAGCTACCTGTTGCACTTTACTGTACTGTTTGTACTTTCTCGGGGCCTCCTGAACGGCATCGACACCACTGCCAATAGCTCTTGGAGGCGGAAGGATGTTTTAGTCATGTGCAGTTATGCTAGGCTTGAGATGGACGCAGCATTTTGGAAGTTCTCTCAGTTCCTGCTAATTCATTTGTGGTGGTGTTCGCAGGGGTAAGCAACCTAAGGCTTATGGGCCACAAGCGGCCCACAGGGGTCGTTTAGCTGGCCCATGAGCTGCCCCCAAACCGAAATGGCCACTCAGCGAGTCCCTGCGCGCTACGCTAAAGCAGTGCGGTGCAGTGCTGCGCGGGTACTTGCTTCTGCGGCGCCAGAAATGGCATCTGTGTAAATGCCAGAAATCTTGTCTGTGCAGACACAGACACCGGAAATCGTGAGTGCCTTCAGATGTCTTCTAAAAGTCTGATAGTTGTTTATTTCCTTGACATCTGGTGGGAGGGCGTTCCACAGGGTGGGCACCACCACCGAGAAGGCCCTCTGCCTGGTTCCCTGTAATTTTGCTTCTCACAGGGAGGGAACCGCCAGAGCTGGACCTAAGTGTCCGGACTTAACAATGAGGGTGGAGATGCTCCTTCAGGTATATTGGACAGAGGCCATTTAGGGCTTTAAAGGTCAGCACCTACACTTTGAATTGTTATTGGAAACATACTGGGAGCCAATGTAGGTCTTTTAGGACCGGTGTTATGTGTTCTCGGCGGCTGCACCCACTCACCAGTCTAGCTGCCGCATTCTGGATTAATTGCAGTTTCTGGGTCACCTTCAAAGCTAGCCCATGTAGAGCGCATTGCAGTAGTCCAAGCGGAAGATAACCAGAGCTTGTGCTACTCTTGCGAGACACTTCAAATAACTGCATTTACTAAATCTTTAGCCCATAAGGGGGATTGTTGGCATTCTCTAACTACTCTTGAATCCTTAATTGTTCCTATATCTCTGATTTCTAAAGGCTTGGTATCCAGTATTTACAAATTACTAATAAGCCAGGCAATTGGCTTTCCATCAAGTCTTACGATAGCCTGGGATGGTGACCTTAAATATCAAATTGAAGAATGTAAGTCAGATAAATGGGATCAGATTTTGGTAAATGATTCTTTAAAAACTGTATCTTCTCAAAATCCACTTTAAAAATCATACTTAGGTGGTATTTGCTTCCAGTATGCCTTTCCAAAATCAATACAAATATTTCTCCACTTTGCTGGTAGGACTGTAAGACTATAGGAACTTATATGCACATATAATGGGAATGCGAGGTTTTATATAATTTTTGAATAAAGGTTTTTACCATTATCTTTCAAAACACGAATCAACCATTAACACCAGATCCAGCCTTGACCTTGCTTTCAATAGAAAGCAATACAAATCCCAGAATAAGTCACTGGCCTTTTTATTATTAGCGGCAAGAAGAATGTCAATAGCCAGTCAAGGGAAATTTGCTTAACTCCATTGACTGATTATTGGTTTCGTAGAGTCTGGGCTATCTCACACAGAGACAACTAGAAAGGTAGCCAAGAAAAATCTAAATCAGATTATTTTTATGCTATCCGGTTTAAATTTTTGATGTAAGTCAATGCAACAAAGATGGGACACAGAGCCCCCAGTGGTTCAATTAAGTCTGTGGAAAGGATATATTTTAGAAGATTAGGATAAAGTGATTTCTTGAAGCCTTGGGTTGTGCTGGCCCATTTAGTCTAGGGTTACCAGACGTCCGCATTTCCCGGGGACAGTCCCTGGATTTGTGAATAAGTCCCCAGACAAATTCCATCCCCGGAATGTCCCCGGATTTCATCTAATGTCCCCAGGACAGTTGGTTCTGGCTGGCTTCAGGAACTGCTCGGAAGTCCCCATATGATTGTGGTGCAGGGGCTCAAAGATGCAGCTTCTGGGCTGCGTCCACCTTCCCTGGCCCCAGCAACTAATGGGATCCCTCAGCTGGGAAGGGAGGCTTCCCGTTGCCTAATTAAGAGATCCCTGCCCCCTCCTGCTTGCACGCAAGCTCTGATAGACAGCATGAAGCCTCCCTTTAACAGCTGAGAGATCCCCACCCCCTCCTGCTTGCACACAAGTAGGATTGGGTCTGCTCCGATGGGAAGGGCGGCATCGCGCTGCCCGAGCCTCACCGTCACCACCACTCTCAGCCCTCCTTCTCCGCCTTCCATGCCTGACCTACCGAGTACTGCTTGCCCACCACCACCAAAGAACCAACAACTCGGGCTGCCCAGGCTCATGGAGAAAGGAGATAGAAGCCTCGGAGGAAGGGGAAACGTGGTGGTTGAGGTCAAGGCAGCGGCCGCCTCTCTGCCACCGCCATCGTTGCAGCATCAACGTCCCGAACGTGTAGTATTTATTTATTTAAAGTGTCCCTGGATTCATTGAAAGAAATCTGGTAACCTTAGTCCAGTATCCTGTTCTCACAACCAGATGCCTGCACAAAATCCGCAAGCACAACAAGGCTCTCCCCTCCTGCAGTTTCCAGAAATTGATATTCAGAAGCATTGCTGCCTTCAACCAAATGGAGTTCCTTTTTAATTACAGTCAACAAGACTGCTGTATCGAGGTTTCAGTAATACCCATCCTTTAATGCTTAATGAATTTACTACTTGGGTAGGTGCCAAAAGGATCAAAGGAAACATTCACAATTATTTGCCTGGCTCTCATAACTGTAATGAATAATAATGAGGAAGTATAGCGTGTGCCCTGGAGCGAAATATGTGAAAGATTATCTTTGCAATACTCCGAGAGGCAGGCGGCACGTCGAAAGTACAAACAGTACAGTAAAGGCAAAAGGCAACTGTTCCATTTGGCAATTGCCGCTCCACTACAACCGTAGCCAGCACCACCTGATTAGTGTTATTTTATTACACCTCCAAAGTATTAATCAAGGGGAGGCAGAAATCATGCCACATCGCAATTAACAGGACAGGGAGTTTTCCCAAATGACACAGCAGCAAATGAAAGGAGTCCTCTTGTGATGGTGGTTGATGGGAATCCCACAGAGCCAAAGGTCACAGACATGATCACAAGTAAACAGGGATTTTTAAAAAATATTTTTAATGGTTTTTACAATAACAGATTCAAAATAATAAAACGAGGGGGGAAAACTATTACCATATCCATATATGAGATTCTCTGGCTCTTGTGACTTCCCCCCATTGCCTTTCTAAAGCTACATATCACTACGTTCTCCACAGTTTCCATCTCTCTGAATTATCCATATTTTTTCATTTCTTTACAAGTTATTTTTAGAGTCTAGCTAATGTTTCTCTTTGTTTACAATGGTCTCCTAAGTAAATTACACATTTCCCCCATCCTTTTTTAAAGTCGTTATCTTCTGGATTCCTGAGTCTCTCAGACAGTTTTGCCATTTCAGCGCAGTCCAGCAGTTTGGCTTCCCATTCTTCCTTGGTCAGAACTGTTGGTTCTTTCCATCTTTGGGCTAGTAGCATCCTTGCAGCCATTGTCACACACATAAACAGTCTTTTCTGGTCTTTTGGGATATTGGAACCTGTAATTCCTAATAGAAATGCTTCTAGCTTTTTGACAAATGTTATTTTAAACATTTTTCTTCAATTCATTGCATATAAATTCCCCAAAAGACTTTATATTGCATGACCACCACATATGACAAAAGGTACCCTCGTTTTCTATGCACTTCCAACAAATATTGGAGCTTGTTCTATACATTTTGGATAACTTAGTAGGAGTCAGACACCACCAGTACATCATTTTCATATAATTTTCTTTGAGTGTACAACATGCTGTGAATTTCAAATCTGTTCTCCATAGCCTCTTCCAATCTGCCATTTGTATGTTATGTCCTAAGTCCTTTGCGCAGTTTATCATAGCTGATTTAACCTGTTCATCCTTTGTATGCCACAAGTATACAGGGATTGAAGTGAGACTGCAAATGGCAATTAGATCTTTTGGACTGACTCAAGAACGCGAAGCTGTGAACGAACAGAAATAAATGATTCCTCAATGAGCTATTTTACCACTCAGCCTTCTTGGCCTTCTTGAAGCTGCTCACCTTAGAAATATGTCTAATTCTCTGCATCACAATAGTGGTTCTATTGTCTCCATTTCATTATCTTATCTGTGGGAATCAGACTCAGGTTTGAGGAGGAGTGGTGGTTGCTCAAAACAGATGTGGTTTTGGGGATGATGTGGATGAAATAACTATTCATTCATAGAATTGTAGAATTGGAAGGGATCACAAGGGTGATCTAGACTGGATGTACTACAGCACCTGCAAATGCCGGAATCTTTTGCCCAATGTGGGGCACAATCTTGAGATTAAGGGCCTCATGCTCTACCAACTGAGCTATCCCAGCTTCGTGCTTCCCCACTTCTTATATGGCATTCAACCAAGATCAAAAATCTAATATGGATGTTCCTAATGAATTGTTCTGTACCCAACATTCCCTCTCTGCTTTGGACTCAGCCCCCAATAAGCCCAACACACTCTGGGCCAAACTAGGGACAACACACAGCATCCTGGATCCCTATCCAGAATTGGTTGGGGCAGGGGGTAATGTTTAATGAGGCGGGTTAAAAAACAAACACCCAACTAAACATATGGCTGGAAGCAGAAAGGGCAAAGTGTCATGAACACGCCAACCCAAAGCCAAGAAGTACAGCTTGAGATAGAAAGCA